CAAGGGTTGCAGAGGAAGAAATTAAAAGAGGTAGTCCCGATGAACAAATTGCCACTCGTACTCTTCTAGGTTGGATCTTGTCGGGTCCAATGGGTTCAGTTACATCTCTTACTCGTAGTGCTGTCTCGTTACATTGTTCAGAAGAGCCCCAGCTGCTACCATTGTTGCAAGGATTTTGGGAGATAGAGGAGATTTCCGGTAATTCATAGCAACAATTAACACCTCACGAGATAAATTGTGAGAATCATTTATCTAATACGTGCTCAAGAGACGAGTCAGGTAGATATATCTTCAGGTTGCCTTTTAAATACAATCCTAATGAATTTCCTAAATCTCGTGAGAAATCTAGACATCTATTTTTAAATATGATGAATTGTCTGGAGTGTAGATTCCACAGAAACCCAGAACTTCACAACTCGTGTGTTATAAAGCAGTTAGCAGTTGATTACAATGAAGCTTATCTTTTAGCTTCCACGGTATTGAGCAATAAAATTTGTGTGGATGATATATTATCTAGAGGTCATTCACTAATGGAAACTCAACAAAAAAGAAATTAATTTATTAACGTGACCAACCTTGGAGGTTTCTCCTTGCACAAGTGGCCCGCTAATGATGATAAGGTTTGGGAAGGTCTGCAAATACTTTACTAGCGGCCACTTCGACGATTAACATAAGTGGTTCAGAAGTTTCTGTCCGAGTTCTTGGACTCGTGAGGTTACCGTCCAAGGATGTATTTCGTTATCGTATCTGTAAAACCCCTACCCGTGAAATATGGTCCAAAAGATCTATACTTTCTCACATAGCTTGGTTGTATGACCCTCTTAGTTGATTAGCTCCAATTATCGTTTATGTTAAAATTCTTCTACAATCACTGTGGTTAGTAAGACTTGGGTGGGACTCTGCAGCTTCTTAAGATACATCGAATAACTGGTTGCATTGGTTGTCAGAAATACAGAAATTAAATGAGATTAAAGTCCCTAGGTGGAATCAATTTACTCCCACAGTCCAACTGATCGAATTACATGGTTACTCTGACGCATCAAAATCCACTTATGCCACGGCTTTGTATACACGCATAGTTCAAGGGGAGCAAGATAGCGTTCCATTTCTGCACTTCAAAACAAGGGTAGCTCCGTTAAAGGTTATTAGCATTACGCGACTTGAACTTTGCACGGCTCACCTGTTAGCCAAACTAGCCAATCATTTTTTTGAAAATTCGAGTAGTACTTAAGACTATCGATGTATGCAGTGTATACTTCCAGATTCTCTATGTCACCGCTATTGACATCGGATTTCAGTATGTATACTATCTTCCGTGATACTCTGAGATACTTCTTATGTTAAGATAGCTCCTATATCGTCGTACGCCTCTTGACGGTGTGTCGTTGTGTAACAATACCGTTCAGCTGTTATGCCAAAATCTTCATTATAATTGATGAGGTTGCTTGTTCGATGCTTATTTTTGCACAGTGTTGCTTACTGCTATTACTAATATATTGAACTGCCACTCGTTACATTACATACACTGTAGCAGTGCCATGGGTTAGACAGTTAGACAAAAAAAAAACTTTTATTAAGCACCACATCTTTTTCTACAATATACAACAACTTAAGCATTATTGTAATGGAATCTACTTGCTGTATACAGTGCAACTGATATACAGTTTTCGGAAAATTATGTATGTACTTCTTTCTCCTGTAAGTCCTCTTGTTTGTTGAAGTTATTTTCAAGTCCATTATTTAAATTGAGACAGCAGTTTGTACACTAAATAATAAGGTAAAAGATTTTTTAATTTTGCAAAAAAATCGTTCAAAATCATTGACTAAAAGACATTCTTTCTTAAAAGGATAGCAGTCAATTATCTGCCAAGTTGAAAAAATAATGCCATAATAACAAAATGCCTTTTCCCATAAAAGTATCGGAAACAAAATCTAAAAACTTCTCAATTTTCTAGGCAGTTCCAACAGTCATTCGAATACCACTGTCCTGATAGATTTTCGCATAGAAAAACCTTAAACGAGTCTATACAAGAAGCTCTTATATTCCCATAATTCCGAGTAATCTAGGGTACATTAAAAGTAATCATCATTGACTTTAATTCTAGTGTAGTATACAAATACATTCAATATGTGTAATACACATCATTTTGAGAAAGATGTGAAGGACTTTTGTATCACATAACAATCACTTCTGAATTAGAAATTCAAATTTTAAATTTTACTATTATCAACTGTTACAGAAACATGGTAATTTAAATAGGGCATAGTTTGACTATCAAATTACTTAACTAGAAATTTAAAAGTTTTTTAACAGCATCACAAGATAGGATTTTTCTAGTTTTCATTTGAAGAAATGCACACTGTAATATTTTCGTAGCTCTTCTTCAGCTGAAACAACATTTCTTGAAGAGAAACACAACTTTTTTACAGTCTTACGTATCCTCCAGCAACTTATGCTACAGTTAAGTTGTTAACTGTGTAAAGTTGCAATTTCGGCCCCGAATCGACGTTTTCACGTCAACACGAAGCCGTCCCGATACAACGCACTAAAACACATCATATCACATGCGACACCTAAAACAACGAAACTCAACAACCCAATACTCTCTCAAACGCCTTGGCTTGGCTCAGCTCTGCTCTCTCGATGTAGACTCCTTACCTAGAGGAGGCCCTGCCGCGGACTGTCCGTCGGGAGGTGGACAGTTCCCGAGGGAAATGATCAGGATGAGAATATTTCACACTTGTACAAATAAACACACTAACATGAATTTCACTTTTAGACTACTCTTTATTTCATTTACAAGAGATGAACACTTCTAGAAAATCGACGCTACCTTCGGCGCTAACTCGCAATTCGCAGTACACATACACACATCTTTGCTCTTATACCCCGCCTTCGAACACCTACCTGCAACTACACGCACATGCACACCCACAGTTCTCGCACTCGACCTAGAGAATGGCTCGCTTTGAGGTTACGACAACCTGGTTTGGTTACGAGAGCACTTGGCTACAACGACACGCCTTCGATCACGAGCTACCTTACGCATCAGCCCGATGACGAGGACATCTCTTGGTCTGCAGGGTGTCCTACCGGCGGCTTCACCAGCTGGTTTACCGAGTCTCCGACAACGCTGCAGACACTCACACACACAAACGAACTCTACGACGTCCTACCGCAACGGTCAGCCGGCCCCTTGCCGACTCCCGAGACTCAGGCAACGCTTCGCTTCGAATACACACGCGTATTACGCTCTACCGCAGTGGATAGTCGACCTCTCGCCGACTCCCGAGACTCGGACAACGCTTCGCTTTCGATACACACACACACACTCTCACACGCAGTGTTACAGTTTCCCGCCATCTCAAATGCCCTGAATTACCCACGATTCAAGCGATCACGCCCACAAAGCTCTCTCTTCCCCGACCCGAATGTCTTCCTCTCGAACCAACGAATTCTCGCTCTCTCACTCCTTTAGCAACCTCGACCCCTTATTTACACTTTTTACTCTACTTCACAACCTCAACAAAGTCCCTCGTATCTTCAACCACACACACTCATCCATACGTTCGCTTTTTACCCTTACCCTCGAAACATCCTACACTCACACAACCTCACTTCGACGCCACATACTATGTCCCTCTCCCTCACTTTCCCACTAGTCTCTAACCTCACCACGCACTACGTGAAATACCTCCAGGCCCCCATCTCCGGGGAGTTATCGGCGTCGTGTCTTCGCGATGTCGCCCACTTCCATCCTGCTCCTCGTGATTGCGTAGTCTTTAGCCAGGCTGCAGATGAAGCCTCCCGTAGATCGCCAAGAGCTGGTGACGGACGTAGGTTGGACGACGTCTCGATGGCGCACACGCTCTACATCCTTCCCTCATGAAGGCCCGTCGAAGAGTCTTCTCAGTCTCGCTGCTCGCATCCTACTGCTTCGAAAACTCTTCTATCTCTCTTCTTTCCCCTACTTCACTCACACGACCTAGCTTGCGCATGTCTCGCTCTTCCCCTTAACTACACGTATATACACAACTTCCTATATTCCCGGCGCATTACAATTTTACAGAAGACCCGATTCACTTTAAAATGTACACGTATATATATATATATCTCTGCGCACACAGTACTAACATAACATCACTTATAGTCTTTTAAAATGCACCTTTCTTCATATTATTGTCGCTTTTTCCGCTCGCGCTTCTCTTTGCTCGTCTCACTGGCTATATGTCTCCGTCGTCGTCTCCTTTTTACTCGCATGAAACATAATGAAACACAAACATACGTACCCAGGGCATTAAAACAAGCCTAAAACCTCAAATTTTACATCGAGTCGAGTTTTGGTGTTTTTCAGACTAATATGAAAAATGACCCCGTCATAACTGCTATTTACAGAGAATAGTCTGAAAGTTGACTTGAAAACTTTTTAAAAATTTTTTGCAACATTTTTTCTAGAGCCACCTTTCTTGATAGACATACACTTTTTGTTGGTCAAAACCTCTCATCACCTATATATTGTAATACTAAATTAAAACAATTATCTATTAAATCAGCTCAACTGATGGGTTATGGGTTCATTAATCTTAGTCACTTAATGTTAGTTTATTGAACAACTATCTACAGTTCTTACATATTCTAGCTGTGGAAGAAATACTTGGATGTACTTCCTGCATGCTTTTAGATAGTTACTCTTTGCCTACACAACCTGTTCAATGTGAGGACTTATACATCTGGCAGGATAAATATTTTTCTGACCTGTAGACGTATACTGATAAGCTATATAACACGTATAATGACCATGACAATATCACAAACAGAAAGAATGATAAAAATTTAAAAAGTAAGAGTTGGAAAAATCACAAAAACGTATTTAGTTGGAATATTACACAGTTGTGTTGTCTTTTTAGAACAAAGTTCTTTTTCTTACGTTATGAGTTTTGGGCAAATGGAGGCTAGACCGAAAAAAAGTCACCAAGACATGTTTTAACGAATTTTCAATTTACTTCAAGCTCGCGTATTTGGTAACAGCCTTGGTTCCCTCAGAGACGGCGTGCTTAGCCAGCTCACCAGGGAGTAACAGCCTAACTGCAGTTGGGATTTCCCGAGAAGTGATGGTAGATCGCTTGTTGTAATGAGCGAAATGGGAAACTTCGGAGGCAATACGTATGGAGATGTCGTTAACGAAGCTGTTCATGATGCTCATCGCTTTGGAATATACGCCAGTGTCGGTATGGACTTGCTTCAGAACCTTGTCTTCAGAAAATTTCAAAAAATTAAGTTGCAATATTTTTTTTTGTAATACACAGTCAGAGTGTGATGAATGTGATGTACCTTATTTTTGATATGCTCCAAATGGTGTACTGACAATCGTACTTGGGTACGCAAGTACTTTTTTATTTGAAACGTTCCGAATGAAAAAATCGAGGTACGCCAGAGATTCCGACTTTTTCTCGTCAGAGCAGACAACTTATTGAGACTCCATTCAGTCATAAGGGGAAGAGAAGAAGGGTGATTTTTTCCGTACCAAGATTTTCTCATTTGAAACGGTCGGAATGAAAAGATGCTTGCGTGCCCAGATAAGCTTTGGAACGAGTCCCTTAACTGTACTACTCGTTTAAAACGTAATTCACTTCGTGCAGGTATAGCTGGATTATATTAAAATAAAAATTATACAACCAACGTTATTGCACCATAAATGGGCATAACCATGAATAATATTCAATATTTGCTCGTAAGAAGTACAAGTATTCCATACATATGTACAAAATGGTGTTTCTTTTATCATGGCTTTTATCTATGTTTTACGGAATTGGAAATAATTAGACATTCGAGAGCTCATTCATACAGCTCTTTTTGGCTGGAAATTGTAACGTTAATTTTTTCAGTAAACCTTTGGAGCGATTTGTACAATTTTTAGATGAAAAATTAACTTATTAACTAAATATTACTAGGACTTAAAAATTAATAAGAATAAAACACTATGTACGACGAAATATAATACGAACAGCGATGCCATCTTTTCTAGAAACTTACTTAAATTTCAATTACACGCATGTGTCATATTTTTTTTATCACAAACCAATTATTACATAGATAGAAAATAATGATGAAATCTTTTTTTACTTCAATTTACATTTTTATGGTTAGTAAATACTATTCATTTTTTTAAATTAAATAAGTAATATAAATAAACCAAATTTCTATTGTTCCTTAATTTTTATTTATCATTAACCTAATCGTCCCAGATCATTTAGCGTTTGCATTATCATTATTTATTTTATGCGTGATGAATATATTTTATCACTTTTGATAGTAGAGGCAGGCTCTAGCTACCTAGTCAACCGTTCGAAGATAAAAATAAAAACTGTGGCCTTGCCCCGTGGAAGACTGTGAGGTAGCAGAGGCGAACTCTACCTATTAAGTCTACCGTTTGAGGGGTGACTATTAACTGTCTGTTTCGGGGCCTCTGGGTCCTTTTATACCCAGTAGCGCACCTCCGTCAAGCGTTAGCTCGAAAACTACGCAGGAAAACTTGCCGGGGTAAAACCTTGGAGAAATGACTATAGTCGAAAATCAAATTGGCTAGAGCTGCTCTAGTTCAGCCACTCAGAAATTGGCACTTCCCATATCCAACTTGCTTTCCAACATACGCCAAGAGAAGAGAAGGTGATTTACTTACTCAAGCCCTTCCTTTCTTCTTTACATCAAAATAATACAGACATTCATTGTCACTTAGTATTAACGTTAAGATACAATATTATTATGATTTACTAATTCTAAATACTGTTCATTTATTCAATTGAACTTGTTGTAAAAAGAGCAATAAAAATCGCCTAACATTTAGATTAAATGCTTAGGTGAATAAACGGGCGGTTTGTTGCGGTATATCAATTAATAATAATAATTAAACAGTAGTAACAATGGCCGTCGGTAACTAATACACGACGACGATGACGATGATGACAATGACAACAATCATCTGTAATCATTATTTGTACTGGGCTACAAATTCACTTGAGCGTATCTATCTCATAGGAAAAATTATTACTTTTGGCCAAGAAGATAAGTTTCTTTCCAGGCCTTAATAAGTTTTATTTTTTTTACAAAAGTGAAGCTTAAAAATGTGTAAGATTCGAATTTTAATAAAAAAATACTTATTAGTAATAACAACCAACTTAAAATGTTCTAAGACCGTAGTTAAGAATACTTAAATTGCAATTGTGACTTGCATATTTTTGTACACATGAGACTTAAAAATTATAGCCCTTCCACTTCGTAAGAAATCTCATTTTTTAAACATATAAGTTTACTAACAAATGGCCATATTGAATGTATTTCCTAATGAAAGTAAAAAGTTTTGCATGCTTACGTTGATAGAACTTGCATTATTTTACGAATGTAGAACTTGAAAATTAAACAGTTTCAAATTCTAGTAAAATTACATTTTTTAGCAGAAATGATTGATTTGCAATGTCCTGAGACTTTAGGTGGCTTGGGCTGTTAGTACCGTACCTAGAGTAGCTATAATTGTAAAAATTGGGAGATGTTGCGAGGCAAGCCAGATTAACATTTCATACTTTTCTTCTGATTTCCTCTTAAGTTGAGTCGTTGACCTTATATTTTTCAAAATTTAATAGATTCTTTATAAAAAAAAAATACAAGAACTTTTTTAAATTTTTGAGTTTAATCAAAAATTTTCGAAATTATAGTCGATTTTGTGGCCACTGTCCATAAGAGTACGTATTAAATTGATTTATTTTCAGTAGCGATTTGCGAATAAATTAAGTCGTTGACCCCAGTATTTTCTGATCGCAAATAAATATGGCTTCCTTTATTAACATAATTTTAGAATTTCAGAGGTTTTAATGAAGCTGATAAGAATCGCCCAAACCACCTTAAGTGGTTCATAAAAGAATTTCAATTTTTTGGTCGAGACTTGTATTTTTTTCACTTATGTGAGTTGTGCATATTTACCAGTACAAAACTCATAAAAGTCATATGTTTTACTGCTTAAAGTTCTACAAAAATGTAATTCATAAATTTTAGTATTTTAAGGGCTAAAAATGTTTAAATTTCGCCGAAACTACAACATTTTAATATGATTACAGGAAGAAAAATGTAACGTCACCTCTCAGTTAAAATTTCCATATACTGCGTATTAGGAAAAGTATTTTCGTATCTTCTGCAAAGAATTACGCAGAGGATATTTTTCATGAGTATTACTTGCTTTTTTACCTTGGAGGAATGTTGCACTTTTCTCTCTAAAAATAGGAAACAAAGCCGTACTTTCGGTGGAAGTTTAAGAAAAATCATATTTTGTTGTGTTACTTAACTGTAAAAGTCCAATTACGTATATTATTCGTAATAAAAATTATGATTTTTTGCACCTGTAACTTTTACTTTGTTTAGGCTCACCAAACTTAGTTTACGGGGTGCCTTTTCATTGCGATTGTAGTTTCATATATGGTTGAGATAATTTTAAAATTTATTGTGAAAAGACAAAATTTTTAAGTGCAAAAGATCCACTAACGATTGAGCTTTAGAATTAAGATAATTTAAGAGCTGGAATATTTGCTGTTCTTTTTACTAGTGGGGCTATAGAGCATATAGTAATTAAAATTAAGCAAATCACAATAATAGATCATATTTTTTAAAGTTTTTAATTATAAATTCTAAATGTAAGAATAATCATGCAGTCAAGCTGGTGATATGGATCCATAGGCAAAAAAATTATGTTGAGAAACTGTAGAACATTATATTTAGAACGAAAAAACTGTTTCAGTGAAAAACATTGATCATGGAAGATTTCAAGTGAACAAGTACTTAAAAGAAAAAAATATACAATCCTCGGAATTACAAAGTTCTTAATTCTTTTATTTTTAAGTTAAGAAATAAATAATTTACAAGCTTGTTTTTTATCGTAAAAATAAAAAATATATTACGGTGGCTTGGGCGGTTGGTACCATACCTAGGGTAGGGTACCATAAGATCTTTAAAAATTCAATGCTTTTCGATTGTAAACTTTTCAATAAATACAGTTATTTCAATAAAACCAAAGTACAAGATCAAGATTTTTCCAAAATAGTACCACAAAATTATAATTGTGAAAATTGGGAGATGTTACGAGGCAAGCCAGATTATTATTTCATACTTTTCTTCTGATTTTCTTTAATGTTAAGTCATTCACCCTGTATTTTTTAAAATTTAATAGATTCTTTATAAAAAAAATACACAAGAACTTTTTTAAATTTTTGAGGTTAATCAAAGATTTTCGAAATTATCGTCGATTTTGTGGCCACTGTCCATAAGAGTAGGTATTGAATTGGTGAATTTTCAGAAGCGATTTGTGGAGAAGTTACAGTATTTTTTTATCGAAAAATGAATTTGGCATACTTTGTTTACGTGATTCCAGAATTTTAGAGGCTTTAATCAAGCCGATGAAAATCGCTCAGCAACCTTAAATTTTGTATTGATTGAATTAATTTTAATTTATTCTGCGAAAAATTATAAGTTATTAGCTAAAAGTATTTGAATGAGAAGTGGTGAAATTGTTGCACAGTATAAATATAATTAGAGATTCAACGGTAGGGTAGATGGTATATCGATTGATTTACTTTTAATGGCTGTGTTCGCATAAGGCTTCGTTAATGAAGTCAGTTAAGGTCACGTGATCATTTATCATAAGTGCGAGGGAGACAACATGATGTCACTGTCTCTCTTTCACTCATCATAAATGATCACGTGACCTTAACTGACTTAACTAACAATGCCTTATGCGAACACAGCAAATGTATTCAAGCAAAATACTCATTAGGTGACAATATTTAAAACAAGAGGCGTTGAAGGCGTTCAAGACTTAACGGTGGAATATTGATCGAAATACCTTTAAAGTAATTTCCGAAAATTAATTAGTTATTAAGGATAATACTAAGAACGTGAGTTTTGTTGATTGTATTATGATACCTGACTGTTAAAACTTATTCCACTTTATAAGCTGAGATTTTCATAAATTTTACTTCTCATTTTTTTTTTAGATATGCTAAAAAGTATCGTAACCAGCATGCTAGGAATCCTGACTTGTAATGTCTTTAAGAAACTGAAATATTGGTTCACTAGTTTAGAACTCTAAAAATTCAATTATACTTCCACAAGTTTACCTTATTAAAACTCGTTACATGTAACAAACAGCATTAA